TGCTCAGACCCCTGGGCCATGCTAATTCTCCCTGTGAGCAATATAATAAGTTAGGGGTATCAGTAAAACGGGACCCTTCATGGTTAGTGTGTGTTTTATTATGTAAAACACATAAATAAAACATGTTAATTGACTGTGTATGTTAGTAAGGCTTCTGACCAATAGCAGGTTGCTTGTTAAATGGGGCATTTTGACTGTGCTGAGAGGTTGGCGCCCCTCACCATTCCTGCATTGTTTGAGAGGCAGCGGTGTTCTTGTTCTCTGGTCCCCACCATTTGTTCTACAATTAAATACATGTTTGTTTCTGTCTGTCTTGTGCTGAAGCCTCTGTATGAGTCCTTGATTACTTGAAGCACAGGGGCTTCTAACTTCAGGAGACATTCATGAGAAGCAGCATTCCCTGTGTTCTTACATGTTCATAACAGTTTTACCTGGGACCTTTATACTTGGAGGTTGGTGTACAACTCTTAGCTGATTATAAAATGCTTGGCTAACATTTCTTTTTCCTGAGAACATTAAGCTTGTTACCCCATTGTATTCTGGCATAAATTGTTGCTGCAAAATATGATTTTCTTTATTTTATACATGATTTGGTCCCTTTGCCTGAAGGCCCAAAGGGTGTTACTTACTTTAAAATCCATTTACTGAGATGTGACTTAGCATCAATCATTCTGAGTTAGATTTCCCACTGGGTGCATTTGTTCAAGTTTTATTTTAGGAATTTTTTTGAATTATGGTTTTTAATATTGTTTTTTCCTATTTCTTTGGTTTTAGTTTCTAGTCTATAGATGGACATCTGTCACCACCTCACTTTCGCTCCATCTATATCCTTTTCTTTGTCCATCTCCTTTACAAGCTCCCCTGGTGTCATTTCTTCTCCCTCCTCTATTTAGTCGTCTTGTTTAACGCCCCCCCCCCAATTTGCTAGTTTTTTTTTTTACCTTGTTTGACTTTTCTCACATCTTAGCTGTGTCATTTCTGAGCTTTTCTATTTTTGGTATATGTTCCTGTATTAGGGTTTTCTAGGTAAACAAAACCAGAGGGAGATAAATATAAAAGAGATTTGTTGTGTGGAGTTGGTTATGTGGTTTGGAGGCAGACATGCCACGAACTGCTGCCTAAGAGCATTTAAATGTTCACCATTACGTAGATCACCTCAGTCTGCTCATCTAAATGAGAAGGGGTGAGATCCCAGAATGGCTTTTCTGTCTTCATAGTTCTGAGGCTGCCTCTTCTGTTTTCTTTTTTTGTGTGTGTGTGGTTTTTCTCCGGTACCGGGAACCGAACTCATGACCTTGCGCTTGTCAAGCAGGCGCTTTTGCCGCTGAGCTAAATCCCCAGCCCCTGCCTCTTCTGTTTTCTTGTGACATATTTAAAGTCCCTCCACTAGCCATCTCTCTCACCTTTTTGAGACCTGCCTTTTGGGATATCCCCTCTTTTCCTCTGCCTTCTAACCCTACTGTGCTGAGGATTTTATTCTCAGTTGGTGCCCTGAGAACAGAAGCAACCCAGTAGTTTCTGGCCTCACAGTCCTGCACTTAACTATTCCAGTCTTCTTTCTGGGTGAGTACTTCTGTTGGCGATGGTGGCCCCCCCCTTATGTTTGTAAGACGTCCCTTTTGCCATCCCTCCAAGACACTTAATTTGACTGAATTTATGTAATTGGTCCAGATAAATTATTCCTGCTTAGTATATATATAGTATAGCTTTAAATATTACAACCTACAATAAATTGTTCTTTAAAAAACTCGTTTATGTTACATGTCAGGTGTTAACTAGTGTTGGTGGTATACCCAAGGAGAGCATATTATTCATAAAACTGAGAGGGGCATTTGTTTCTGCTTTTGTCATTCTCTAGTCTTGGCATATATCAACATCTGTCAGGTTAGTTTTGGCCTTCTGCTTGCATATATACCAGTGTTACCCTTTGTCTTTAGATTTCAAGATGAACTTTTTTTCCTGATGTCAAGAGCTGACATATTGTTTGTAAGCATTATGTATAAATTTTTCAGTTGCTCATATTCTAGAAGTAATGTAATTTGATATCATTCAAATAATTTGTAGTATTAAATATTTGTCATAAATTGTGTAACTAAGATTATGTATTTTTAGAGAAGTAATGCTGGTATCACACATAGTTATAAGTCAACTAAACTCTAGCTTTAGTAAAAGTTAAATGTCTAGTTTATTCATGTTTAAATCAGTAGGAAGAGAATTTTTAGGTTATTGTACTGGGCAAGATGGAATAGTTGTACATTTCTTTTAGGCTTGAGATAATTATCTGTGTTAGTTAGCTTTCCTCTTCCTGGGACACAATACCTGATACCCACAACTTCAAAGAAGAAAGGTTTAATTTAGTTCATGGTTTTAGAAGATTCTAGAGGGCTGCAGAGGTAGCTCAGGGGCACAGCACCTGCCTGGCAAGCTCAAGGTCCCAAGTTCAATTCCCAGTACCTCCCCACAAAAAGGTAGAAGATTCTAAAGATTTAGATGATCATCCCACTCCAGGGCAGAGATCTCATGGTGTAGGACAAGACAAAGTAAAGCTGCTGAGGATCAGAGCCAGAGGAATTGTGCCAAAGAAATGGGCCATACATTTGGGTATGTAGTACTCAAGATCACTCCTCCATGACCCACCCAAACAATCCCAGGAGTGTGCTTTACTAATCTGCTAGGTGTTTCTTAATCCAGTGAAGTTGAAAGATCAGGACTAATAGTCACCGTCTACCCTTTGTCAGCTTCACATCCAGGCATATCTCCTTGAACCATACTTTATCTCTTAAGAAAATAACAAGTTCATAATTTCACTCAACATAATACAGCTATCCCACTTATAACCAGAAACTCAGTAGTCTCTTCCCTACCAATATATCAGCTCTTGACATCAGGAAAAAAACTTCATTTCACCTTAAAATCCAAAGATAAAGGGTAACACATGGTCTATATGTGAGCAGAATAGTCTTTTCAATAGTTCCAGCATTTTTCAAGTCCAACTTAAGACAAGTCCAGCTTAATATAAATTCTTTGCTGTGAACCTTTGTAAAAATAGAAAGCAAGTTATATAATCCCAAGGTACAGTATATAGGGTAAGCACTCGCATTCTAAAAGGGACGAAGAGCACTAGAAAAGAATCAGACCAAAGCAAGATCAAAATACAGTAAGCTGAATGTTAAGTCCTAGTGCTCCATGTCTGGCACCTGGGGCTCATGGTGTGACATGAGTTCCAGAGGGTATGGACAGCCCAAGCCCTATGGTCTTGGTGGTTGCAGCTTCAACCTCTCTCTTAGAGTGACTTTGTTCATGACTTTCAGCCTTCTCTAGCAGATGTTCCCTGTTCTGGCATTTTCAATTTCCTGGGGTCTCCACTGCATAGCTTCATTCTCATAGTTTTGTACACTGTCCTCTCAGGCATTTCTTGCTTGGCCTCCCAGGCCTTCCTTTGAAACTTTCTTGACTCTGCAACTGTTGTATTGTGCATGCGAGTAAAACTAGCATCTCAGGGACAGTGCTAGTAATCTGCCTACAGCAGCTTCTGAGTGCGTTAATGGCTAGCAGAGTGAAATGAATCCCAGAAAACCAATTGCCCAGGAGGCCCTTCTCCAGCAAACACCTCAGGGACTATCTTCTCAAGAGAAAGGCTTATACTTTGTACCCTTCAGCTTGCCATGAGTGGGGCCTAGCTGATTCTTGAGATACCCTTAATCTTTTTTTTTTGTCCTTATATAAAGTACTTGCTTCGTTTTTAGTGGTGCTGGTCTCTTTAGCTTCCATGCCTCCTTTAGCCCTAACTTTGTACATGGTTCTTTGTAGGCCATCATTTAACTTTTTCCAAAACTTTTCCTGTGCCTTTTGCCTCTAATTATTATAAATCTGGCTAAGAATAGCCAGGGATATCCATGCAACAGCCTGTCTTAAAATGTCCTGATGAGGCCATCACCCTTAAAATCAGTCTCCTTGCAGTCTAGAACCTGGGCAAAATGTGGACAAATTTCTGCCAGAGCAACACTGTCACCTCTAATCTAAATGCCTGTGGAGTCCTTCTTCCCATTTGAAACCTCCTGAACCTGACTTTTATTGTTAGCATTCTGGTCTTTTGAGCTCTGGCCAGAATCATGTCTCAGATTTTACTTACTGCATTCTCATACCTCTCTAGTTCATATCTCCAAACTTTTCTAAATCACATGGTCAGGTACAGTCATACAGCAATGACCCCACTTGTCTGGTACCAGTTTTCTGTGTTAGTTCTCCTATTGTGGAGACACAACCCCTGACACCCACAATTCAGAAGAGGACAGGTTTAATTTAGTGCATGGTTGCAGGAGATTCAGTGTGTGGTCATCAAGCTCCAAGGCAGAAACCTAATGGTGAAATGACCAGAGAGAGCAAATTTAGTTCATGGTGGCTGGGAAAGCAGAGCAAGGGGATCAGTGCCAGAGAGGAATGGTCAGGGCCTTCTAGGCATATAGTACCCAAGACCAAGGAGACCAGGCCTCCATTGACCCATCTAGATGCACCCAGAAGTGTGCTCTATTAATTTACTGGGTGTGTCTTAATCCAGTGAAATTGATGCTTCAGGATTCACAGTCACAGTATCATATAATGTGTGTGCATATGTGGTTATTGTTGGTCACCCTTTCTTTTTCTTTAAATCAGGCAATTCCTAGTTAATTGCATTAAAGAAAAACTGAGAAAGTGGAAAAACTGTCATTTGGGAGTATGGCTTACATTCCTGCTGATGAGTGTTTTTTTTGTACGTGTACACAGTTCAGGTACCCAGCAAGCTCCTGTTGCTAATGAACCATGTTACATATTTGTTACTGGACATGGCCTCACCTCTGAACACCACTGATGGGGGTAGGAGCTGAGCACCTTGAGTCCCTTGAAGTGGGAGTATGGCAAACAGGAGTTTGCATGTTTCTTGGGATTGTCTGTTAGCCAGTGTTTGTGTTGGATCTGGGTGTGCATACTTGTGAGATAATACCTTGTGTGTGTGAATACAGAAAACATCGGAGCAGTGTGGGGCCAAGCAAACCTGTGTCCCAACCCCGGCGGAACATCGTAGGCTGCAGGATCCAGCATGGGTGGAGAGAGGGCAACGGCCCTGTCACTCAGTGGAAGGGGACTGTCCTGGACCAGGTGCCCGTAAATCCTTCTTTGTATCTTATAAAGTACGATGGATTTGACTGTGTTTATGGACTAGAACTTAATAAAGATGAAAGAGTTTCTGCACTCGAAGTCCTCCCCGATAGAGTTGGTAAGTTCTTTTTACTGTTTGTGCGTTATTGCTTTAAAAGTGTTAAGAGAAATGGGTGCTTTTTAAAAAACTGTTGTTGTTGTTACTTTTGAAAATCAAGGACCCCTGATAAACCTTTACATCAGTCATCTAGAGCCACAGAAGTTGATCCAAAGCAGATATTCTGAAAGCACAGTTGCTTTCAGAAGTTGTGATGGATATAAATGTATAAAGTGTTTCCTCAAGAAGTTTACAACTAACAATTTCTCATATGGTTGTTTCTAACATTTTTGCTCAGTATTATCTGGACTCTGATAGGTAAGATTATTATTAGTCACATATACTCTGCTGATTTCATCAGGTACAGTGGCTAGGAAAAGCTTTGTTGCATTTATTTTAGACTTGATGTGAATTGAATCTGTATATATTACATAAATGGTAATTTTCTGTTCTTTGAGCTAAATGTAGGCAGCCAAAACATGAGCTTTATTATCATGTGTGTTTGAGCAGTGGTAGTAGAAATGAATTCTTGTTTTTTGTTTTATATTATTAGTTTTGCCTTCCAAATGTTCCTTAAGGCATAAAGGTCTAAATTAAATAGTGATTTTATTTTTAAATAAGGTGGGTGCACCCAAGTTAATATTACTTTCTTAAGGATATTTATTTTGAGATGTTTATTATAGTAATGCTGAAAATAACAGGTTTATGCTTTTGAAATAGTCAAGCCTATGCCATTAAAAATTAAAGCTTCAGCAGATCTAGAATTAAAGAGCAGGAGTTTGAGAATCAAACTGTCAAAGGAGGAGTCCTAGCTCCCTCTGTTTTCTTTAGACTGTATCATTGTATTCTTGGCAAAAGTTTCTTCCCTGACAAGTTAATAACTCTTTGCCATATCAGTAAGTTAATTTGTTAATCTTCCCTTTAGATAGCAAATGCTAAATCTTTATTCATCCTGTATAAACAGTTTAGATTTTACAAAAATCTTTCCTTAGATTTAAATCTTTCACATTTTTAACAGCTTTTACTTTTCTGGTTTGTTTGCTGTGATTTTTTGTTTGTTTTTGTGGTACCTAGGAATTGAATCCAGTTGAGCATGCATGTTAGCTAAGTGCTCTACTGCTGAACTGTGTTCTCAGTCCTTTTTAAAAATTTTGAGATAGGGTCTCATTAAATTCCCCAGGCTGGCCTTAACCTGATATTTGTCCTGCCTCAGTTTCCCAAGTGATTATAAGTGTGACTGCACTATCATCCTGCCTCTTGAGCATACATCCTGTATTTCCTCCTCATCTTGACATCAGTCCATGTCCAAAGTTTAAAATGTTAACTTACTTAAGATGCATATTTGCAGAGCTTGAAAATTACCCAAACACTTAAATCATTTATTTGTGCTAAATAATTGCATATTTCTTCCTGACCCAAATTGTTAGTCTTAACTCCTTCTAGGGCAAAACTATTTGCTCACTTGAACTCTCCTATATATTGCTTCATGACTTACGTTCGTAAATACTTTTGTCATCTTAGGACAGATATTGACAAGTATCTCTGGTAATATGATCAGTGGTTAACGTGATGTTGTTGTTTTTGCGTTATCTGAGTTTCCAGCAGTTAGACGTGGATTCTTGTAACTGCAAATAGTTAATGCAGTTTGGAAAGAGGGTTCCAAAAGCCTCCATACACATTGGTAACAAATCTGCCCCATTCAGTTTATAGTGAGATGCTGTTAACGGCAGTATTCACAGTGATAGGTGAATCTATAAATTATTTGTCCTTTATTTATATTGCATAGGAAGAATACAGCCTTCCCTAATTGCTTAAGGCAATGCACTGGATTATAGGTATGTTTCTTTAAGCTGACAGTATAGAAAAAAAAACAAACCATCTATTTGATGGCAGAGCAGTGTTTTCCAAGACAAGGCCTGGGGACCTGTGGGGTTTCCTGAAACCCATACAGGAGGTTTGCAAGGTCAGAATTATTTTCATAATGTTAAGATACAATTTGTGCTCTTTATTTTTATCATTTGACGGTTGCATAGTGGAGGTGCCCACTGTCTAACACTTGGAAGATCTATGTGACTCAACAGGCACTTTGTGAGCAGTGTGCAGAGTTATAAATTAAACATCCTGCAACGATCCATTCAGAGGGCAAGACTGACAGGGTTTTGTTTTGTTTGTTTTTGTTTTTTGAGTCAGGGTCTTTCTATGTAGTTTAGGCTGACCTTGTACTTGTGACGCTCCTCCTGCCTCAGCCACCAAGAGCTGGGATTATACACATGCACCATCACATCCAGCAAGACTGACAGGTTTTTTAAATAGTTGTTTAAAAAAAAAAAACATAAAGGTTAATATTTTAACCATTTTATAATTCAGTAGGGTTCAGTATATTCACATTGTTGTAAAACAGATTATTTATTCTTGCATTATGGAACTCTGAGCCAATAAACAGCAGCTCCCCTTTGCTTCTTCCTTAGCTCCTGGCACTCACCTTGTGTATTTTCTGTCTCTCTTATGAATTTGGCTACTCTGGTACCTCATACAAGATTTGGCTTTCAGAGACTGGCTTATTTCCCTGAGCATAATGTACTTAAGGTTCATCTGTGTAATAAGTACAGGATTTCCTTCTCTTTTTAGTCTGAAAATACTGATATATACATATATATGTATATATGATACATATATATATATATATATATATATATCACATTTTGTTTTCCTGTTTATACACCAGTGGACATTTGAGTTATCTTAACTACTTAGTATATGAAATTATGAGCCATGCTTGTGTGAACATGGGTATACAGGCACTTACTTGGAACCCTCCTTCCCATTCTTTTGTATATAGGAAGAAATGGGATATAGTAGTTCTAATTTGAATTTTATAAATGGACCTGCTATACTTCTTTCCTCTGCAATTGTACCATTTTAAGATCTGTCAGTTATACAGCTCACTGATAGAATACTTGCCTAGAGTTTGACCCCTAGCCACCCCCCCAATAGTTTTTTTTACAGTCCCAACAGTGCACAAGGGTTCCAGTTCTCCAGCTCTGCCAGAATTTTTATTGTTCTTCTCCTTCTCCCCCTCTTCTTTTCTGTTTGATAATAATTATTTATCCTAATGGGTGTGATGTGATACCTTGTGGTTCTGAATTCCCAATCATGTTGAGCATCTTTCAGATGATTGTTAGCCTTATCTATATTTCTTTTAGAGAAATAGCTCAAGTTTTTTTTTTTGTTTTTTTTTGGTTTTTCTCCGGTACCGGGAACCGAACTCAGGACCTTGCGCTTGCCAGGCAGGCGCTTTTGCCGCTGAGCTAAATCCCCAGCCCCTTGAGCTAAATCCCCAGCCCCTAAGTTTTTTTTTTTTTATCATTTTTTAAATTGGGTTTTTTTTGTTGTTGAGCTGTTGGAGTTCTTTATTTTTAGCAACACAGGTTTTAATATAATTGCATGTCAAGTTTATTGGTTATTGTTTTATTTATTTGTTTATTTATTTATTTTTGGTCTTTTTGAGGCAGGGTCTCACTAAGCAGTTCAGGCTGGCCTTGAGCTCACTTTGTAGCCCAGGCTGGTCTTGAACTCACAACAATCCTCCTACCTCAGCCTCCCAAGTGCTGGGATTACAGGCCTGGGCCACCACGCCCAGCTGGTAGTTGTTTCAGATTCTGTGTTGCAGCTAACAGTCAGGGAGCTGCCAGTTGTTGACTTTTGATACAGTTTTATAGAAGACTGACTAGACTTACCTGAAAGACAATTAGAATATCTTTATCAACATATCTTTTGGAGGCTGATGTCAAATTTAAAAACATAACAACAGGTTAAAAGCTGAAGCAGATAAGAGAATCAAATTGTTCTTTAAAGCTAGACATTGATTTGCCAAAATGTAAAAATTATTCCACTCTTAATAAATCTTGGTTTGAAAATATTGGGGTTTTTTTGTGGTACCATAGGTTGAACTCAGGGCTTTTACTCTAAGCTACATCTCCAGTACTCCCTGACCACATCTCAGTTTTAAATTTTGAGATAGGCTCTTGTAAAGTGTCTGTATTGCCCAGGCTGGCCTCAAACCTGAAATCCTCTGGGCTGAGGATTACAGATGGGTGCTTCTATGCCTGGCCTTTTTTTAAAAATTCAAATGCATTATTATGTAGGTATTTTAAATGTTTTAAGTTCATTTTTACTTTTTAAAGTAGTAAACACAGGTATAATCCATATAAATAAATGCTCTTTTTTAGGTTCTTGATAATTTTAACAGTATAAAGAAGTTGTGATATCCAGTAGTCAGTGAAATCCAGTAGTCTGAGATGTGCTAGCATGAGAAAACCAGTTTATTTTTAGTATTTAATTTTAGTGTCAGGCAGAGGGGAATTCTCTTTGGCAATCCTAATTAAATTGAACAGCTGCAGTACATTTATTTTAAAAATCTAACTTTTTGTTTTGTTTAACAGATAAAAGCCTGATGGATTAGTAAAATAGGAGTGCTAAGCTATTTTAAGGTGTACCACTGACCTATGTTCTGAGCCCTTTTTATTTTTTGAGACAGGGTCTCACAAAATTGCCCAGGCTGGCCTCAAAATTTGATGATCCTCCCATCTCAGCCTCCCAGGAGCTGAGATTCCAGGCATGTGCCACCAAGTCTGGCTTTTACCTAATTTTAAAAAGGTAATGCCAGGTGTGGTGGTGCACACCTGTAGTCCCAGCACTCCGGAGGCTGAGGTAGGAGGATTGTTGTGAGTTCAAGACCAGCCTGGGCTACAAAGTGAGCTCAAGGCCAGCCTGAACTGCATAGTGAGACCCTATCTCAAAGAGACAAAAAAAAAAAAAAAAAAGGTAAAGGAGTAAGGCTAGAGCTATCTCTGTATCATTTGTGAGTCCTGTGTTGTCAGATCACTCCAGCCTTCTGATTGAATCCTGCAGCAGATATTGGACTGTGTCTAAGAACCAGAAATAAGGAGAAGGTATCTGCTTTCCTAGGGATGTACAGGCAGTAAAGAAATAGACAAATACATACAGCAAATTAACTTTAGACAAGGGAATGTTACTAAGATGTACAAGTAGGAGAGGTGGTGCTGTTTTTCCCAGGTGCCCAGGGAGAGCCCTCACAAGGTACATGCTTCCAGAGGAATGTGGTCATCCCCTACCCCAGCCCCCAGTGTCGCAGGCAGAGGACAGCTTCCCTGCATGGGGAGGAGCATCAGGGTCATCCAGGAGGAGAGCAGTAGAGGACAGGGTGGAAGTGTGGGTAGTGGGGAGGAAGATGCTAAGACCTAGGGCAGGGGCAGGATGGCCTAGGGCTGGTGCACCTTGGGGAGCATTTATTTGTTTTTAAAACTATGCTTGGGAAGGCATGGGAACATTTTAAATGATACATCTCACAGAAATGTCACAGTAATCTGGTTGCTATGGAGAACAGATTATAAGAGCAAGAGTAAAAACTGTGCCTTTTTAATAGACTATAAAAATAAGATTGATGAGAAATAAACCTTTAGTTTCTTTTAAAGCAACAACAAAAACCGCATACCTTGAACAGGTTAATTTCTTAGTTTTAATAAACGTCCTGTGGTTATATAAGATGTTAACACAAAAGAAAGCAAGGTGAACTCTACACAGGAACACTTCTGTTTTCTGCTACTCTGCTCTAAGTCTGAAAGTATCTGAACACTTAAAATAACCTTTAAACAATAACAAAAACCTCTCTGTACCTTGAGTGATTAGTTAAAAGTTGTAAAGTTGAATTTAAATTTAGATACTGTACCAAGAGCAAAAGAGTCCAGAAAAATAAAAACAGATTCTCTCAGTTAATTGATTTGGGCCAAAGTCCATTTCTGGGTTGTGGCCCAGTAGCTTGTCTTGGATTTGGTGATTGTGCTTCTGAAAGTCCCGGTACAGTACATGGGAAAAACTTTTAAGAAGTCTCCTTTACTAAGTCCATTTTTCATAGGAAATATTCAGTGAAACATTTTTCAACCTTGTTTTTCTCTTTTAAATCCTCAGCGACATCTCGAATCAGCGATGCACACTTAGCAGACACGATGATCGGTAAAGCAGTGGAGCATATGTTCGAGACAGAGGATGGCTCTAAAGATGAATGGAGGGGAATGGTCTTAGCACGGGCACCTGTCATGAACACATGGTTTTACATCACTTACGAGAAAGACCCTGTCTTGTACATGTACCAGCTCCTAGATGATTACAAAGAGGGCGACCTTCGCATCATGCCCGATTCTAGTAAGTATATATTGGCAGCTTTCAGTGTTGATAATGGAAAAGGAATTTGTATTTTGTGATACTTAATCAACTTCTGCAGATACACAAATTTTGGATATGTGATTCTTTCAGCCATGCACAAAAGTTCTACAGGTTCTACTCTCTTGTTAAATTTTAGCTGAGAAAAAAGTTTGATAATTTTTGCTTGGCTCCTAAAATACAATGAAGGTTATTTTAAAATTTATTCATATTACTATGTTATTTATTACTCAAATATTTGAAGGCATGGGAAAAGCAAAATAAATCAGTTCCATTTATCTTAGCAGCTGTTAGCTCATTGCCAGTCTTGTTTTACCTGCTCTTCAGCTGAATTATTTTGAAGCTCTTCTACAAGTTTATCATTTTATCTGTAAATATTTGAACTTTAGAGAATACTGATGTCAGAAAACTGTTAATCAGTGGACCTTTCAGTAGTAACTAGGTAATCTATTTAGCTATTTTCACAAGTGATCTCAGGTGATTTACCATTCATGTGGGGAAGGTAAAAAGTATGTATGACCTGGTTTTATCAAGTTTGGTTTAGAAAATAAAAACAATTTCACTGTTTTAATTCCTATACCATATAGTTACCATTTAAGATGAGCAGTTTAGGAGTTTTTAAGTACTGTTGCAGATAATGTGCAGTCCTCAAAGTTGTCAGTTTTAGAACATTTTCATCACTTCAAAAGGAACAATATCTTTTCAACCATCATTCCCTTATTCCGCTTACTGCTCCCTCACAGCCCTAACCAACCAATAATTTACTTTCTGTATAGATTTTCCTGTTGGGAACTTGGATGTGAATGAATTATATAATATAGGGTCCTTTGTGTCTACTTTGTTTTCACTTAACATGTCTTCAGAGTTCATCCAACACTAAATAGTATTCCATTGTACTATGTAGACTACCACGTTTTGTTTATGCATTCATCCATTCATGATCATTTGGGTTTTTTCTACCCTTTGTTTATGAACACTGCTACTGTGAACATACGTATACAAGTTTATGTGTGGATATTTGTTTTAATTTTCCTGAGTATGTACCTAGGAATGAAATTGCTGGGTCATAGGGTAACTTCATTATGGTAACTAATTTTCAAACTGGCCACACCATTCTACATTGCTACTAGCAGTATACTAAGGTTTTGCTTTTTCCACATTCTGACCAGCACTTGGTGTCATCTGATTGTAGCTATCCTACCAGTAAGTATGAAGTGCAGTCGTGTTGTGGTTTTGATTTGTGTGTGACTAATAATGTCAGAAGGATCTTTTCATGTGCTTATTGGCTACTTACGTATCTTCGGTGAAGTGTCTGTTCAGATCATCTGCTCATTCTTTTACTACGTTGTCTTTTATTATTGGATTGTGGGAGTCAATAAACGTTAAGTCCTTTGTCAGTTTTTTTTTCCCCATTCTGTGGATTGTGTTTTCACTTCCTTAGTGATGTTCTTTGAGTCACAGAAGTTTAACTCTCAAATCTGTTTTTTCTTGTTGCATGTGCTTTTATCGTATCTAAGAATCTCTTACCAGATCCTTGAAAATTTCTCTGTTTTCTTCTAAGTGTTTTATACATGTTGAATTAATTTTTGCTTATCATATGGGATAAAGGTTCAGCTTCATTCTTTTACTTGTGCCTGTTCACCAGTTTTTGAAGATTGTTCTTTCTGTCATCGAAGTTTTGACACCATTGATAAGAATCAGTTGACTGGATCTCAGTGCATTTCTGGATTCTCAATTTTGTTCTGTAGGTCTGTCATTTATGTAGCAATGACACTGTCTTGATTGTATTGTTTTGCAATATTTAAATTGTGAAATGTGAGGCCTGTACTTTGATCATTTTGAGGATTGCTTTGGATATTCTGAGTTCCATGCAATTCCATATGAATTTTAAAATCAGCCTTTCTATTTCTACAAAGAAGTTCCTGGAATTCTATGATATGGGAGTGTGTTGGATCTGTAGATCAATTCACATAGTATTGCTACATTAAATGCTAGCAAATCTCAATGAGTGCTCTAATCCATGAGTACTCTTGTCTTTTTTTTTTTTTTTTTTTGAGGTGAGGTCTTGTTGCCCAGGCTGGTCTCAAGTTCCTGGGTTCAAGTGATCCTCCTGCCTCAGCCTCTCATTGTGCAGGATTATAGGTATGCACAATTGCACTCAACCTGGGGGAAGATAATTTTTGAGGAAAAGAGTTCAGTTTAGATTTTTTTTCACTAATTTGTTTAAAATAACTGATTGTGTGCAGATATTTAATTTGTATTATATATGACTGTACCAGATATCAAAATAGCAATGTCTGAATTATTGTTTAATGAGAGAATTTATTCCATTTAAGAGACAAACAGTTGTTAATGTAAGTATTGTGAAATCCAAGCTAGGATACTGTTCTTGTGAGAATCAAGGCGGGGGTCACTGCTGCTAGTTGTGCCCAGGTAGCATCAGCTTTATGCAGCTGGGACATCACCTGAGGACAGGCTGCTACTGTAAGGAAACCCCTTAAGCTGTCCCAAACTTGGGAGGAGTTTATTACTGTAGAACTGTAACTACTTGCCCCCTTTCTTTTGCTTTTTTTGTTGGTGATGGTTTGCTGTCGTTCTGTATTTCTGGGTCTCTGTATTTCCCTGCTGTTCTTGTGGATGATGCTGGTGTCTGAGTGATTTTGGGGATTCTGTTGCACTTGATTTGGGGCCTGGAGTTCAGGTAGCACCTGTTTTTAAAGCCAGGGGAATTTCTTTTATTTTAAAATTGGGTTAGGAAGATGACGTAGGATGGAATGAAGTTGTGGTGAACAAGTATTGAGGATTTGGAGTAAAACCAATACCACTTAGGCATTTTAAGTAAGTAATGTATTTTCAGTCGTCCCTGTAGGAAATTTTTGCTTTGACATTCTGTTTAAAAGACAAACTTATTTTTAGGTAATTACAGATATATTTTAACATGAACCAAATGAATTGTTGGCTGTGTTTTTTTTTTTTTTAATTATTCACAAACATATCTACCTAGATCAGAGGTTGACAAACTGTTTTGTAAATGACATTTTATTGGGACATCCCACACCCATTAATTTCTGCATTTCGCTTTGCTGCTTTCATCCTGCACTTGCAGAGTTGAGGGGTTGGGACAGAGACCATGTGGCCCTCAAGTCTAGAGCTTACTGTTCTGGCCTATTAAGAAAAAGTTACCCAACTAATGGGTTAGCTAGTCAATGATGAATTCAGGATGTTTAAAAATTTTAAGTATTTATTATTAAAGGAAATATGTGAGTTGATATGTATCTAAAGTTTGATTTTTTAAATTTTTTTCTTATAAATACAGATGATTCACCTCCAGCAGAAAGGGAACCAGGAGAAGTTGTGGACAGCCTGGTAGGCAAACAAGTGGAATATGCCAAAGAAGATGGCTCAAAAAGGACTGGCATGGTCATTCATCAAGTAGAAGCCAAACCATCCGTCTATTTCATCAAGTTTGATGATGATTTCCATATTTATGTCTACGATTTGGTGAAAACATCCTAGATGTCATCGTGAACTTTGCCAAATTTGTGGAACTATTAAATGTATAATTTGTAGACATAAAGACTTGATTGCTTTCCAGTTTAATGAAAGCTTAAATGTCTCTGCGAACCCACAATCTCTGCCAGCAGAACTGGTTTTGTTCTGAATAGTACAGATTGATGTGAACACAAAGCTTTTTGTGTAAGGAGAACTTCTTTGTCTTATAAGAAGTCTATCTGTTGGGAGGGGAGTTACAGGCAAGTTTGGTAAAAGTTAAGCTACTATCATAGTCATTTAAATCTGTAATAGATCTTAATCATTTCCCCTCTTCACTTTAACACCATCTTATTCTGCCACAATGCAAGCATAGTTTGATATTTTTGTTACTGCCTTTTTTGAGATATATGTATCCATATCTACCTGTTTATCTATATCTGTATCTGTGTGCCTGTGTATATATATGCACACACACACACACACAGAGGTACACGTGCACATACACACCACTGGCAGTCCTTTCCTCATGGATTGGGATGGGGTGATACATTTTCTCCAGTTTACCTGGAGTGCTTGACCCAAGTCAGTCATGCTTATGATATTCTTGCTGTTTATTTAAAAATTAAATTGGGGCACAGCAAGCACATAAAGATGTTAAAAATTAGGAGTTTAGAGCACCTGTTCTAATCTGGAAGCTTTAAACTGTAAGTCCAAATATGAATTGCTTATAAACAGTTAATGACCCGTTTTTGGTAGGCTGGTGAGAAATCTGGGTAAAAGGCTGCCTTTAATTTTAAGCTTTGTAAGATGTTTTGTTTACATTTTAATTTTGAGTACTTTTTGCTCAGTTTGGGTCCTTTGGTCACTCGGTATAATGTAGGTGTGTCTTGGATGGCACATTTGGTCCATTACTTGTACAAATGAGTAATCGGTTTTAGTTCATGGATTTAAAAGGCAACAGTACATGAACGGCTTGTATGTGTGTGGTGAGTTCTGGAAGAACAGTGCTTTTGTATTTGAAATGTAAGTTTAAGAATGGCATTGTTGCCTTCTAATATGTTCTCTGGGACTGTTTTTTGTTGTTGTTTTTTGCTTCTGTTATTGCTGGTATATGATTATGGTCAGAAGGCCTCTTTTCTCCTTCCCTGTCCCTTTCCCCAGCTTTGTCCCACAAAAAACCTCTGGCCGTATAACAGCTGATCTCTTGACACCTTTTGTGGTGGTATAGGATATGTTCTTAGCCCAGGCATGCTGATAATGTGGGTTCATTTCCTCCAGTGGCCCCTGGGGGTTTGCATGTCAGTAATGTGTTGTCACAGAAGGCCTAGTCATCCGTGTTGGCTTGTGGATGTAATAGCAGCCCATCACCACAGAGTCTTTTAATGGGTTATTACTGAAAGGTTGTTCAAAACTGAAATAAACGGCAAGTTGGTTTGACAGCCAGGAGAAAGATGGCATGTGAAACCAGTGTCTTGTGGAGGTGGGAAATCTGACCAGTGGTGTTTGGGCAGAGCCTCATGGGCATGCTGTCTACCAACCACCAGAGGTTTGGATCTGAGGTCCTAGTTATCTTTGGGGGCTGGTTTTTTTATGATAGCAATCATTCCAGTTTAGGGCCTCACAATGTATGGTTTGTTTGATGCCCATTTTTGCCTTCCTGAAGGCTTGTGCCTTGTGCTTTTGGATGGTAATGACTGCTCACCACGTGAACGTAGTACATCCGTTCTCTGTCCCTAGCTGTAGTTGCCCTGTGCCCAGTGCTTCACCATGGGCAGCTTCACCAAGGGGCAAGCTTCCCAAAACAGCGTGATGCCCCAGTCATAGATGCTTCTTATGTGTGTGAACAGGTGTCGTCCTGCAGATCTGCTGTTTCCCTGCATGTACATCTCAAAGCAGAGCCTGGCTCCCAGAGCCCATACTGACATGTGGCACAAGATGGTGAGTGTGTCCAGCACGCACAGAGGTGTGCAGAATGTGGTGCAGTGACTTCAGGCTGGAAAATAAAGTTCTTTTTAAAGTATCCCAAGGGTTGGGTCAATGGAAACATTTCTAGCATTACCTAATGACTTGCATTGTGGATTTTCTGCAAGCAACTTTAGCAACTTTAATATACCCATGATCTCCCAGTCTCTAGAGGAATGCAACATGGTGATGATTTTAATCATTGTTCCATTTATTGCCTTTTGAGCTGCGGGAAGGGGGAGGGTTTTTTGTTGTTTTTCCATATTTTTTCCCATTCCTTTTTTTTTTTTTTTCTTGGTGACTTACACCTCACTTAATGCTGTGACTGATTCTGCTCCCGAATCCATGCGTCCTGGGCTTCATTTTAGGCTCATGTTTCAGATCTGCATGCACTGCTTGCATTTTTCTGGTATCTGAATGTTGGTTCCTTGTTCTAGGAATTCAACATTAATTTCCAAAATTATCATGGGACTTGTGACAACACAAGACATGAATCTATGTATAAAATTTATTGGCCTTTCTCATTTACCTGCTCTAGTATTGTATCGTGTGTGCGTGCGTGTGTGATGTCAGGCTGCCACGTAAAACTTTCAGAGAAGAACCTTAAAAGCAGACCATCCTTTTTTGCATGCTCTATTCTAAGTAGAATGTTCAATGTAACTAACTAAATTGCATGTTAAAGATATTTAGGTTTTTTGTTTTCTTTTTTCTTTTTATTTGTTTTCAGTTTCCTGTATATTTGCTTACTGTGCTGTTCTAGTGGTTGTAGGATAAAAATGCACTGGTGAAGCAAATGTAGTGCCAACAGAAGGTGATTTTCCCGTTGTATATGTCATGCAGCATTTGAAGGGACTGTGCATTCTGAAAAAGTCACAGTTACTTCTAAACCAGATTTCATTTCTATTCTTGTTTTATGTGCCAAATCCCGAAGTGCATTGGGCTTGAATCTCTGAACACTGTAGACCCATTAGAAGACTGTTCTGATTGTCACAAATTGTAGTGCCTGAAAACACTCTTAAGCTGATTGTCTTAAAAAATGAAAGTTCTCCAAAGACAAAACAGGAACAATTATTCTAACAAATTGATGGTCGAAATGTCTGTGGTTCCTTGGAAATGCTGCGCTCTCTGTATTTTCCATCATTAGTGCAGTTTGGATGAATGTGTATAGTTCAGAGGTCTTCGTGTTCACATATTAAAACTAGGTAAATGACCTCATCTTTCGAGCTTGAATTCATTTTTAATTTTATTTTATACAATGTGTAGACAGTTTCCTGTTCTTTGCATTTAGAAGTATACACAATATAAATCTGTTAATTCTGTAAGTAATTTTTATAATTATGATGTATCTCTATCCTATCCTTAAAACATTTAAAATAAACCCTTTATGTGCAACTACTGACTATAAATTTTGTGCTCATGAGCAAAAAGGTGATGTGTTAACTTGCTTCTTAAAAAAATTTTTTTTAAGCAAAGTGACCTTTATGTGTTAGATATGGATAGAAACAAAAAGAAATACAATTTTTCTTCTTTTGTTTTTACCTTCCAAGAGACAGGGTTTCTCTGTGTAGTTCAGGCTGGCCTCAAACTTTGGTGATCCTTCTGCCTCAGCCTCCCAAGTGCTGGGGTTACATGCATGTGCCACCATGCCTAGTTCCGAAATAGAAATTTTAATTTATAACATCTGATAATGCCTAAAAGGACAGAGTGTAGCAATCTTTACATTAGATATATCAACTACTGAGTTGGCAATAATGAGAGGGTATTGTTTATCATTAAGATTTTTAAAAATTATTTTAAGTAAAATAATGTATATTTACATTTTCACATCTTTTCTTCTTTTGAACACTGCTTGTAATACATTTATTCATACTTAAATACCAATCAGTGAGATTTGACCAAAAAAAAAAATCCCAGTTCTCAATGCTAAGTTAAAGAACTGAAGGTAATATAACAATGTGTGTGTGTGTGTTCTATGTTTTATCTTCCTTGGTAATTTTAATCAACGTAAAAATTAGGATTTATGATGTACTTTAATTGGATTCCTTTTTTTAATGTCTCCCTGTTCATTCCAGAGGATCTCAGGCTGAAGGCTGGGGGAGGGAAGGTCATCATCACCTTTTCCTGCTTCTGAGAGAGAGCTGGTACTTGGTAAGAGAGAAATGCAGACTTGGCTGTCTGGACACCTGGCCCCAACACTGTGTTGGTGCAGCAGCTGTGACCCAGGTCATGGTGGTCACTTGGCGCGACTGAGGGCATGGTATGCTGGCTCTGGGGGAGGAGCCTCAGGGAGGGTGAGGCTGAGTGCAGTCTGTGTTGTATAACCTTCCTTGCTAAAGCAGATTAGTCATCCTCTGTGGTATCTATCAAAGGTGTACCACTCAGTAAATACTTTCCTACAAAAGTTACAAAGCAAGTTTAGTCTGCAGGTTGGAATTTGGTGGCTGGTACCAGTAAAGCAGCTCCACGTTTTAGTGCACCAGAGCTCTGGGGCCCTGCTTTTATCATTTTTTCTCTTGATGCAGTTAAGCTGACTGATAAGGCACTTGAAACTAACAAAGCTTCCTTCATTTAGTGCGGAGGGCAGAAGCTTTTGTCCACAGTTTCAGAAGCAGTAAAGCTGCAGGTGCTTGACTTTGTAAATGCCCAGGCTCTGAACTGCTCTGTTGATGACTCCGAGTTAAATAATGCCCGCGGAGTGATTTGGGTAATCTGTAGTATAATATCCTCTGTAATTTCTGTAACCTTACTTCATGAGTTGATAGCAAGAAAATGTTTTATTTTCAAATTGAGCCTAATAAAAGGTTTCCTTTTATATACTAAAAATGAGAACTGGTTTCAAAGTTGCTTTTTAAATAAAAACAGTTTATATCATGATATTCACATCTTGCAAAAACTGAATTTTTTAGGCTCCTAGTATATGCTCTCATACCGCATTTTTATAGTCATTGGTTTTCCGTTATACAAGATTTTAGACTGCAGAGTTTGAGAACTAAATCGAATTATTTCTCTAACCATTCCTAGTCTGTCTGCCCTTAGCTTGTCCATGGTTGATTTTGGTAAACCAAATAGTAGGTGTATTCAGATATCCCTTGTCAGCTGTTTGCCTAAAGCTGCTATAGGCATTTTCTGCTTTTAATTTTGAAGTGGGAGCACTGGGCTAAGACAAGAGTCTGGGCCAGCTGTGATGCGGGGACTTGCCCTGCCTCCCCCTCCTCCAGTAGGCTTACTACTAGCTCCAATTTTATTCTCATCTTTATCCCCCATTATTTTGAATATATACTTCCTGAGAGAAAGCTAACAACTTAAGTACTATATGAGCTATCTAAAATCTTTGATTAGGCTGACTGTATATTTACTCAGAATTCTGTTTTTATGTTAAGATTGTTGAAGCAGACTGTGGAGGTGCGAAAGGACAGATGGACTACTCCAAACCTTGATGTTAAAACTAAATGATCATTTTGAGCAACTCAAGATTGAATTGCAGCTTTCTGAATTGTCCTCACATACAGAGTGTGAAAATAGACTTAAAGCTTTTTGCCTTGTAAGAAATTTGGTAGCTATTTTCTGTTATCTAACCTTCACTCATACACTTGGGCATGCACAGGCCAAGGATCTCTGGTATTAACTAAGAAAACCAGGGCATTGCTCATCAGTGACCATAGAGGGCAGACATCAACGTAGTCTTTCCTTCTGAAGTCATTCCTTACTGTGTACTTTTATTTCAGTGTGAGTGCTGTTTTCTGGAGACCTGTTGATAACAAAAAGTTGCTTCAAGACTGCATATGCAATCCAAGGAATTTTCTCTGTGAGTCTGTGAGGAAATAGCTTTACACAAGAGTTTGTTCCTTAATTTAATCTAAATCTGATTTGTCAGTACTAGGAAGTTCTAATGTACCATTTTCAGCACAGTGGTGCAAGGACCGTAGCATGTTAAAAGATTACAAAACCAGTCTAAGACAGTAGAGTCTATAATCTGCTATCTCCTAATCTATGCTAGGACTGTTTTGTTTAGTTTTGTGTTTTGAGACAGGGTCTCACTGTGTAGCCTGGCTGATGTTGAACCCACAGTGATCCTTCTTCCCTAGCCTCCCAAGTTCTGGGATTACAGGTGTGAACATGCCCATATGAAAGGTCATTTTTGTTAGGCCTGTAAGGGGTGGAGATTAGTGGAGATAGCAAAATCATTATACTCAAAACTAATAACTGTCTCAGTTACTTTTCTGTTACTCCTGAGACAGAATACCTGAGGCCCAGAATTAAAGAAGGAAAGATTTATGCTCGTAGTTTGTGGAGGTTTCAGTCATACTTGGCTGGCTGCAAGGCAGAGTGGCACATGGCTGAGGAAAACAGTAAATGCAGCAAGTGCAAAAGGAAAGAGGAGCAGAGAGCAAGCCTCTCCCTCCCTTATATTGTATGCAGGCTACCCATTCTAGGGTGGGTGTAGCATTCATACCCATAATCCCAGCATTGTACCATGAATCGGTTAGAAACTCTAGAAGCCCACCCCATGACTGCATGAGGCTTTAGGAGGACATCTAGACACAAATCATAACACTCTCTGGGTAAAAACTGCAGCTGGTTACCCTAATGGCCGTATATAACACATCTGTAAAAATTGCAGAAGTGTCTCAGCTGTTATCACTAGCCTTTCGTTAACTTTCATTTTAATAATTGCATCTTTAAAAAGGATCACATTCATCCTGTAAGCCTTGCTGCTTGGGATACTGAGACAGGAAAGTGGTTAAGTTTGATACCAACCTGGACAGTGTAGCAAGACCTTGTCTCAGAAGAGAGCTGGGGATGCAGCTCACTGGTAGAGTATGTGCCTAGCATGGTGAGACCCTGGTTTCTCCCTCCCAGGAAAAAAAAAGGGAAGAATGTCATGCTCTGGTTAAACAAATACATGTGGTAAAGAATTTGAAGTTTCCAGTGAGTTTAGCACATGAGCACAGCTCAAACACAGGCCTGATGGAAGGGTCTCTGTTCTGCCATCCTTTCATCCACCAGTAGGTACTAGCAGAGGTATGGTTTTGTCCTCATTCTGTGTTGATTTGGTGTTTAAGACCACACTTTAGTTATACTGTTAGCAACCACTCAGGCCAGAACGGTCAGGTCTGATGGCTCCCCACTCCCAAACCAGCCATAGGAGGTTGCGTTTGGAGAAAAGGCTTTATTCAACACGAGCCCTGAGGAGGTCGAAGGTCCTCATTGCCACAGATCACCATTTTCCTGTGCCTGGTATACAGTGGTTTTTATAATAATGAGGGGCGGGGAGAGGAAATACGATGTGATAGCAGACAATTCCAAGCTGACTGCATCCTTCCCAGCTGTCTGCGCTCTCCTTTCCTCGTTGAAGGGAAATGACTCTTTGAGTACCTGGTGCCAGCACCTGCATATTCTGTCCATTCATTCTAGACCTGAAAGTTTGCTAAGCTGCTTGTCTCTAAAGAAAAATTTCTAACTTTTAAGATACCATTTTGCCATATCTGTTACAATATAACTCGAGTTTGGTTTGTATTGTTTTTCTTTTGGAACCTCCCCTCTTCCAGCCTGGATAAGAATTGCTGCAACTAAAGAAGGTTGAAAGGTTAATACACTTTCTCACGTTGTCTACTTTTCTCATGCCTGGGAGTAGTACACTACGTATGCAGCTGTAGTGAATGAAGGTACCCATGTGGGTTTCATGTTTGTTTTACAGTTTTTATGTACCCCAAGTTACTTAGTGCTTTTGTAAAACACAGTGCTGGAGTTCACAGTGTAAGATTGTGATCAGAGGATTGTGCTTTCAGTCTGGGTTCACTTTCAGAATAAAATCCTAGAGAGAGAAGGAAGCAGCATACTTCAAAAAAAGGACCAGCACACTTAGTTTAGTGTGTAGAACAGTGGAGTGTCTTCATTCCCACCTCTGGGCTGTACATGCACTGCATATTTGATTACAACTGTTTCTTTATCTTTCTGACATAATCTGAAATGGTTCATCTTAGCAGAAGTTTTAGAAATTTGTTTCCAGGAGAAAAAATTTCTGACTTAAAAAACTCACCTTAGCTGGGTGTGGTGGCACATGCCTGTAATCCCAGCACTTGGAGGCAGGAGGATTGTTGTGAGTTCGAGACCAGCCTGGGCTACAAAGTGAGCTCAAGGACAGCCTGACCTGCATAGTAAGACCCTGTCTCAAAAAGACAAAAAAAAAAACAAAAAAAAAACCCAAAAGCTCACCATAGTGTTGAACATCCTAATACTGATTTCTGTTACATATTTGTAACAGTAACCCCCCCCCCACATTCTACCTTCAGTTATCAACAATGGTACATATGCAGAGATAACTATCACATGTTTTGAGAGTATTTCTAAGGCTAGTGGGAGACTTCCATGTTCTTTGGAGCTTTGTAGAG